CGGGGCATTTGGATATTGCCTGACCAAAGTGTTCCGCGGTGCGAGAGGACCAGGTGATAAATGCTTGGTTCCCAAAAACCTCCTGCCTCCAAGCCTTCTTGTAGAGCCGGTGAAACTTGGACACCTTTAGTTTCTTGTTGTACGCAACAAGCGGTCGTCCTTGCACTGCGCCGTCCTCGGCGGTTTTGGAAGGAGGGGGTTGCTTGCGTTGGCTCTTGGTAATCGTGGGATCAGGATTATCCTTGGTGAGATCGATCGACAAAGGAGTGGTAGAGTTCGATCGAGCTTTGGCCATGAGGCCAACCTGACCTTGGGCAACTTCAGATGGGAGGAGCGAGCGACCTTTCATTGCGCCATCCTCGGCGGTTTTTGAAGGGTTTCGCTTGCTGCGGCGCTGGGGAGTTGTGATGGCAGGGTTGTCCTTTGTCAGAGCAATCGACGACTGAGTGGTCGAATTTGATCGGGTTTTTTCCTCGAGACCTCCCTGACCTTGGTCAGCTACAGTCATGATCGAATTCGGGTCCTTCTCCGGCGGGTTCACGATGCTATCCTTCATGTTGATGTAAATTTAATTCCTGTTTCAACAACAACAACTGTTTTCCTTTACGTACGAAACGCGTAGGACTGGTACAGTTTTGTTTTGGAGAAGCGTGTGGAAGAATATTTTCTACCTTTTGTTTTTTGATTTTTGAGTTTTATGAGGACTGGCGTAATCTCGTTTGGTACAAATTTGTAGTATGCAATCATCCTACTAGGCCAATCACGCTAGACATTGAGTCATGAAGTGGAGGCGGCGCCTGGTAATCCGTAGGATTACCCTTAAATTCCGGATGAATTCAATAGAACAAAGTGGAGCTTGAACTCGATGCCCCCATGCTGAGGGGGATGGAAAAGTCTGTCTATTTCCCATCAGAAACCTCGGATTGATCCAAGGTGTGTCCCTGCAGAGGACGTCATTTCTTTCAAGGTAAAGCTAATTTAGTTTGTTTTAAAAACGAGTGAAATTCAACGATCGACAATGATCCACTTCTGTAAATCCAATAACTCAAGCCACGGAATATTGCTATATCCCACCTGAGTATACCATTCTGCAAACTCGTCGAAACAGATCTGATGCTGACCTTGATCCTGTTTTTGGAAAGTTTGATTGGCAGCCCACATTGACCCACCTTCCACCACACGGGCTAAGGCTGCAGAGCCTCTGTCGTACTGCGACCCATCACTTGTTGTCATCACATCTTGGTTGATATCACCATCGAGCGTATCAATTGAAACAAGATTTAACAAAACTGTCAAAAAAGATCTCAAATATCTTGCGGAATCATGCCGCGACAATCTTCCCCCTTTGTCTCTACCCAACATCTCAAAAGCAAACTCTAGCTTGTCACTTTTCTTGCCTTTACACAAGATAGTAATCCCACAGGCTATCTCTGTGGCATCTACTTGACCTCTTTCGGAATAATCAAACCCAGCATACAATCTGGAAAGGACATCTAAAACAGTCTTCTCCGCATCAGCACTCTTTGCCTTCGCCAAGATCAAATTGCGCATAGCCAAGAGAAAGCCTTCCTTTGTAATCATTGCGACTTGACTTGCACCCTTGCCCACGAGTGCCTGCTTGAGAATTTCTTTGCTCACGACTTCACCCTCAAGCTTGCACAATCCACTGTCTTCAAGTATATGCCGTATATGGCGAATTCGTTTTTGACTCACTGCGACTACATACCCAGCGTTTTGACCTTCGACAATCAAGTGGAATTTCAAAGAAGAAGTCTTGGAAACACCGATTTGTTGTTCTTGTTGGGGTCTGGGGGAGTATGAAAATGATCGAGATATCTTGTTCAAAACAGCATCGTTTTCTTTGTCAGTAGGTTCCATGAGCATAAGATCCATTTCATCAATGCTTTCCATTGGCATAATAGCATTGTCATCGTCGTCGAAAAAAGACGAGTCCACAGCATCATCAGGTGGAGGTGGTGGGCAATCCAACTCCTCATTGAGCATAGTACCAAAACCAAAACCGGAGGTTTCTTGAGCTGACGTTTGAATCAGTGGGAGGGCCTCCATTTCTTCCGTAAGCACCCACTTCTGTAAGTCAAGAAGTTCAAGCCACGGAGCACTCTCGTAGCCTCCTTCATTGTACCAAAGGCCAAATTCATCAAAGTCTACGCGATCTTTCTTTTTTGTTTTCCACTGGTACCTGATGACATCATCAGTGACCATATTTGCTGTATCAGCAATATATCTATTTACAGAATCGTCGCTCAGATCCAAGCTTTGTCGGCAGCAGGAAAACATGACAATTAGAAAAGATCGTAGAAAGAGAAATAATTCTGCCCCATTCAGAGAGTTCGCATTAGCCACTGAATTCTTCGCCCGTTTTGTTTCATTGCATCGTTGATCGAACACTCCGAACGCGAATGCCAGCTTTGTGCTTTTCTTGCCACCGCACAAAAGAGTCAACCCTCCCATGAGTTCATTCAATGGAACATTATCCATTTGATGGAGGTCAAAGCTGTGGAATAAATTCCTCACCACTTCTCTACAATTGGATACTGACTTGGCAGTTCCGCTTGCTCCTCTCTTTTTCTGGGATGTTCTGAAAGCAATTGTTTCTTCCATGTATCGAGTGAATGCGCTCCTGTTCACCGTCATATTTTTCCCCCGTTTCCTTGAATTTGATGCTTCGTTTCTTGCGACGTTGAATAGCGAGGACCAAACATCATCTGGCGAGCAAGACAAAAGTCCCAACTTGTTGACGACGTCATTGACGTAAGTCGCGTCTTCCCTTAAAACCACAAGCGAGCGCTGGTTGGCAAGTGGAAATGTGAACAATACTTCTGTTTGAGGTCCAGAATTTTTGGGACTCGCATATAGATTCGATGGCGGAAGTATGCGCGATCGACGGGGGGATATGTACTGTGGGGTTGCATTACCAGATGCAGGGAGTGATGGGACTCCCAAAGGGTCGTGCATAGCTAGCGATGGTGCCGAGGGACAATCCGAAGAGTCACCGATCAGCGAGAGCAGTTTTTTCAAGTCTAACAACTCGAGCCAAGGTGCAACATTGTATCCACCGGAGGTGTACCAATCCGCGAAGCCATCAAATGTATGCATGACTCTGTCAGGTCGATGACCAGTCCTTTCCACGTGCTTGAGATAATGCGCAAGTGTCCACTTTGCTCCATTTTCGACCGCAGCGTGCATCGCCTTTCTTTTTGCACTGTTTTGCTTTGGTTTCATAACTCCATCTGAAGATGATGTCAAGAGGGAAATACCAACTAACATTGTGAGATAAGAGCGCAGGAACTGCGCTAACTGGGCAGTGCTTAATCCTTCAGCCTTTCCATTTTCGAGCAGATCGAAGCCTGAAGCAAGTTTTGAGCTCTTGTTGCCATCGCATAGAAAACAAAACCCAACAGCAAGCTCGCATGCATTTGCTTCCCCTGGTGCAAGCGGTTTTGCGCATGTGTTGAAGCAGCTGAAAAAGTCGACAAACGATGACGAGAAGACATCTCGGTCCACCTTACTTAGTCTTCGTGAGGCAGTCGACCCCAACAGCTGGTGCAAGCATGTGTGGAATCGCTCGATTGGAATTACTCTGAGCTTCACGCCGTCATGAGTGCAACTTTTTGAAGCAGAAAGCAAAATTTTTGCAATTTCGTTTGGATGCCGAGTTGCCAATCCAGTAGCCCGGACCAAGTTACGCAGAGTCAGTAGGTTTCCTTCGGAGATATTGATATGAAAATCGGAGTTTTCCCCTGCAATTTGGGATGCACCAGTGAAGTCAAACGAGACTACTGTTCTACTGTGTGAGGGTTTGCCGAAAACTGTTGGGCATGGCACCCTAAACGCATCTGGTTTCTTTGTAGAAGTAGGCAATGGATGATGCTCGTTCTTCTTAGGACTCGTCTTCTGAGATCCGGATGTAGCATGCCTTTGTTCAGATGCATAAGCAGAATCAGCGATTACAGTTCCACGCTCAAGTACATTTCTCGATAGCACTTCGCGTTCTTTTGTTACCATAGCGGGCCTTGTTGGAGTCTTCCATTTGGAGAGGTTCAAGAGGTCAAGCCACGGTGAAATTCTCCCACCTTCAGTATCTTTCCATGTACAAAACGTCTCGAAAGAGACAGCAAATGAAATATTCTGTATCGGGCTCTTCCGCTGACAGTATTTTACCAAGCAATCTGTAGCGTATGCCGCAATTTCTTCGAATTCCTTGCGTACAGTGGAAATTCCGATTTGTTCACTTTCTTTCAGGGCTATCGATGAATCAAAAGACGAAGAAGGAGATTTGAGTTCTGGAATCGAGTCGCCAGACCTAGGAGAAGAACTATCGGACTGCTTCATCTTTTTTCTCAGTGGACCATCAATACAAGTATCCTCTTCCATTTCAATCTCTACACTTGGACCTCGGTAGATACATGATGAGATCGCTACAATCACCGAACGGAATAGGGATTTCACCCCCTCTCGATCCAGAGCTTTTTCCACATGCTCCTTCCCACTGCCTAATGAAGCGTTTGACCCTAATATATCAAAAATAAGCCTCATCTTGCATCTGAAATCCATATCACAAAACACAAGTACACCAACGTGAATCTCCTTTGGAGACGAACCAGACGACTTCATCTTATTAAGGAACGAGCGCAGTGTTGAGTTCTCGCATTGATGAGCTGCATCCAGTACAACTTCGTGCAACGGTCTTGCTACTGATCGAGAGCAAGACTTGGAACTCCCATCCATGGTGGACTCCGCATCGCCGATTAAAGTTTGATTGCAGTCCGAAGACTTTTTGGCTAGCTTTGTCGCTGAAGGATCTGTGTGTCTCTTTTGCATGATGTCCAAGGTTGTTTCCATAGCGCTGCTCGCGTCCAATACTCGTTTGACATCATCTTGAGTAATGGAAAGGGTTATGGAAGGCACGGGACTGTCAGTTTCGACCGACATCAGAAGTGTTTGAGTCAATTTCGTTGAAACTCTACTACAGTATCTGTTCTGTCCAAGCTCTACGTGTGTTGACAACAGAGAGGCTCCTTGAAGACTCCTTGAGAAACGAAAACCAGAAAATTACGAATGGATCCGTTAGCAGGATGATAAATGGCGAATCTGCTTTAATAAAGCACTGTACTGTAGACAAAACGACAGCTACACGCAATTCTCCCATATGTTCACAGAAGATGCAGAATCATCTAGAGCAGTTCAGTTTAAAACGTCTTCTACTGCTGCGCTAGGCAAGTTGGTGGTAGGAATTGTGTAGGTAGATTTTGAATCGTTGTCGCAGGATACGTCCCTCGCTCGCCTTGCACTCACGCGCACACCGCACACCACACGAATTGAGTCACTCGACCGCACGGAAACTTGTACACCAAAACTCAAAACGTCAACAACAATCAATCAAATTTGAAAATATCGGTACTACAGTACGAGTACAAGTATTTCACCGGCGTATATCTGTAGGCAGAAAGAAGGCAATACAAGCATGCTGCGTATTGGATATCTTCGACTGGTGATACTTCTCTGTATTCTGGTTTTGTCAAATGCATTTGTAACTCCAAATGGAGGATCATTGACATTTGGGGAGTCTAGAATCCTCCTACACAGTTCATTGTCTAGAACTGATGACGTCTACACAATACAAATTCTCATGTCTGATACTGGTGGAGGGCACCGTGCTTCTGCAAACGCCATCGAAGATGCCTTGGACGCTCTTTATCCTGGAAAGTTTGAATGTGATATTGTGGACATCTACACTGAGTATGGACCATTCTTTCCGATCAACTCATATCCGTCAATGTACAAAATTATGGCCAAATATAGTTTCTTGTGGGAATCCTTCTACAACTTTGGCGAAACAGATTTTGGACTCTGGTTGAACGAAGTTCTTCTTGATACATTCTGTTTTGAGCCGTTTAAGGAATGTTTAAACAGACCATCTGGTTCAACAAACAAGCGTGCAGACATGGTTGTGTCAGTGCACCCACTGTGCCAGGGTACTCCACTGAAAATCCTTGCCAATCTGGATTCCGGTGGGAAAACATGTGACTTTAGTGCCCGAGACACCCCATTTGTAACTGTTGTGACAGATCTTGGCGGTGCACATATCACATGGTTCAACAAAAAGTGAGTAGCTACTGTACACAACGACGTTTCACCTTTTGGAGCTGTTCTTTCTCACTCTGAAACTAACCCAACACTTTAGTGTTGATAAGTGTTTTGTTCCATCAGATGTACTGAACAAAAAAGCAGCATCCCGAGGTTTGAAAGAAGATCAAATTGTTCAGTATGGACTTCCCATTCGAAGGGGGTTTTGGTCAAAGGTGGAAAATACTTCTCAATCCTCATCGAAGCCTTCCGGACTTTTTGAAATCTTGAACCGAAAAGGCGAACAAGCAGTAAGTCACCTGAGTGACAGAGAGAATGTTAGGCAGCACCTTGGATTGGAAACGGACTTGTCGACCGTTTTAGTTGTGGGAGGTGGCGATGGCATGGGCGGGATCGTGGGTATTGCGGAGGCATTGGCCACTGCATTGGGAAATTACAGCGACGTTGTATCATACCAAATGGTTGTTGTCTGTGGAAGTAATGAAGAAGCAAAACAGACTTTGTCTGGCAAGGAGTACGGAGCTGGAGTCAAAGTTTCTGTTGAGGGTTATGTAAACAACATGGACGAATGGATGAAGGCAGCAGACGCCCTAGTCACAAAGGCAGGGCCAGGAACAATTGCAGAAGCGTCTATATGTGGTCTCCCGTGTATGCTTTTCGCGTATCTGTAAGTGAATTCCAATCTTAAATGTCTCTTTCGTTTTGCTCACTAGAGAGAATTCTGTCGTTTTGCCAGACCTGGTCAAGAAGAAGGCAACGTGCCTTATGTGGAATCCAATGGTTTTGGGAAGTATAGTAGGGACCCCGATGTGATTGCAGAGACCGTGAGTTCGTGGCTGGCTTCACCAGAGAAGATGAAATCCATGCAGCAAGCAGCACAAACTGCTTCTCGCCCTTCAGCTACGCTTGACATTGCGGATGACATTGCGCAAATTGCGTTCGCTACAAGGCAACATTAAAAAAATATGTGCCTCTACTCCTCATGACTAGAAAAATGCAGTATTTTCAATCGTAGTTACTGCAATGCTATAAATGCAATGCGATAAAATCAATATTCCGAGGGGTAGCGTGGGAGCCTATTGGTAACCGTTCATATTTTTCTGCAGCCAATCGTAAGTAGATGTTCCCCAGCTTGTCAGAGCTGCGTTGACAAGCTCCATGACAAATGCTTTTTGCTCTCTTGACCCAGGTTGACCCCTCATTCGCAACCGTGATCGAATACCATTTGCAAGTTGTCTGGCCTGTCGTGGGTTTTGCGTAAGGGTCAGCATGGTAGCCTCCACTAGACTGACAATGTCTTCCGCATGGGATGCAGCTGAAGCAAATGCATGTTCGAACATATTGCAAAATCGGACACCAAGCCCACCCTGCTGCACGTTCCATCCACCAAGAACATCCCAGAACTCTCCACTCAACTTGAAAGGGGCTCGCTCACTGAAGATAGGTACCTTTCCCATTTTTGGAGCATCGCCAAGAACAAAACCGAAATCAATGTGAATGATATTGCCCTCTCGATCGAGTAGAATATTGGCATTATGCCTATCCTTGATCTGGAGAATGTAGCAAACCAAGCTGTACCCAACTAGCGATCGCAGAAAATTTTCCTGCGCCTCAGTGAATGTCAGATTTCCCCCCTTCTCTCCTTTACCTGAATACTCATCATTCAAACTATTCGATACAGGAGGCCCATATGCACGTTCAAAGTAATCGCGAAGTGATTGGAACGAATCAGTGCGTTTCTTCACCTCGTCAATACTCTTTGCATCGTTCAGACATTCCACCAAACCTGCATCTCCACCGACACACATAATTGTGTACGGTCGCAAGTGTGGTCTAATGTTTTCTTGAATGTCTTTCTGAAACCATTCATTCAATTTCACAATAATCTGCATTACTAGTGCCTCTCGACGGATGTCTTCTCCAGCCTTCATGATGAATGACGCAAGGCGCCATCCTTTCGTCTTTCCAAACGGAGAAGCCTGCTTTATCTCGTCGCATTTCATCTCCCACGCTTGACCGAAAACTTGTGACAGCAGTCCTTCTCGGATAGAAACTACAAGGTTCCTGCTCACATCGAAAACGGAAACGAAGATTTGAGGTCGAGATCTTTATCTGACAAAATATGGTCTATTGGTTCGGAATTTACCTTTGTGCAAGACTAGGCATGGCTTTTCTTGCTGTGGACTCATCAACAAACATTTGATGATGCAACTGTTCATATTGTTGCTGTCTCACCTCACTATAGGGAATCGATGCCAACATATCATCAGGGTCCGGTGGCGATGGATAGAATGTCATCTCATCAGAATGAGTGCCACCCCGAAGATTTTCTGCTCGATGGGTTGGTTGATCGACTACCGGTAAAACCGAATGAGCGTCTTTTGGTGTGGATGTTAATAGCTCAGGAGGAATTTGGTATGATGCATGAATAACGCTTTGGGAAACATCATCGCACGTGCTTGCCGCAACTGTTGAACTCATGGATAAGGCCTCTTCGATAGTTGTTCCCAAACCCGGAGCACCTGATGCATATAATCGGGAGTCCCGACCATTGAATCCAGTCTCAGCAACTTCTAAATGTACCAAGAAAGGACACCTTTCCCGGGAAGATAGTAGCCGGCACTCGTCAACAACAATATTCAGAACCCGGACGGCCCCGCCACCGATCGTCTCAGAAGTTGTACTTCCTGGCCACCGATTGTTTTGCTGCATGGAGTAGGTTCGTTAGGCATGGAGTCCCATAACATATGATGGACAGGCGATTCGAAACGTACATTTGGGTCCAAAGGAAGATGAACTGAGTACTGTAGAAAACTTGTTGAGATGTCCGTGTGATGTGGCCAGTCGTCAGGCCCACGACTATCCTCGACATCAAGGCTCACATCACCTCTAGTAATCATCCGCCTTCTCAATCTGCGATTCATTTCCCTCAAACTATCGTGGAGGTACGTCTGATTCCAAAAGAAAACACTTGATAAGAATCAATTCATCCAGAAATGGTGACACCAAAGAACTTACAGCACGATGGATTGTTGGCACTCGACGCAACTCGAGAGATATTTTCGTAAGTCTGTCGATGAAGTGCATCGTGTCACCGAAGTGACTGCATCGCCTCAGACTTAGACTCGATGGGAGCCGAAACGAAGGGTTGTCGGTCGCGGATACGGCTAAGGAACTTTCGCCGCAATTGTTGTTTAGATCTCCGATGGATACAGTGTGACCATACGCCGTTGCTTGCTCCGAGTCTTGCAGCAAATCAAATGCTTCTCGTTTTTCGTTTCCGATTTTGGCCAACACGGCTGCCTTCTCTGCGGGCAGAACAACGATCAAACGCCTCCCAGTTTGCTGACGATGCTCAAATAGCTTTTTCCAGGTACGGCCCACTTCCGCTTCTAGCAACCAGCACAAGTCCACTCCCCAGTTGGCATCTTCGACACATCGATCTACTATCACTTGCCGCAATTTGTCGATTGGATTTAGTAGACGTGATTCAAAGGGAGGCGGCGACTTCAGCACCACTGATACTAACTGAGGTAGATAGTCTCGAACGTTACGAATGGTTAGTTGAGCGTCATTCGACTCAACCGCCGTTGGAAGTCGCCGGGGGAATTCTTCATCTTTACCGAAATCCAGTTTTTGGTCTATCGAACGGTCTTGGAGGTTCTCGCTGTTTCTGGAGGTAGAAACCAGTTCAACGTGATGTCCATCATGGTTGTCGTGTGCGGAATGATGAGGAGTCTCGGTACAGAATGCTTGCAAAATATCTGCATCTGCATCTGCATCTGCATCTTCATCTTCATCTTCATCTAGCGGAAGGAAAAAACTCGTCTGAAGGCTTTTGTTGCTTTCATTTTTCCGAGACTCCTCGTATAATCTAACTGTCTCATCGGCATCAACAAGTGAATCCGAAAGTTGTTGTACGAGTTCTGCTCGCATGGAGTCGATCACCAATAGTCGTTGAGATCCTGGAGGGTAAGACAAGATTCCACGTAGGCAATTGTCCCTCCAGTCTTCCTCACATAACTCTTGAATTCTACTTCCATGTTCAATATACTGGCTTCTTGTATCTATACTGCGAGGGATAGTTTGAATCTCTGCTATGTCTCGGATAAGGTTGCACAAAAACAACCATCGCATTAGGAAGTTCGTTACGTCAAACATACTTTGCTTCAACTATACTATAATACAGGATTTCACAATTCGCTCCTTCGATGTTTCGGGGCTCAAAAATTATAGATGTATGAGTTGTTCATTCTCACAATTGGCCATCGTTGAATTTTCAGGTTTTGAGAGATGATGATGTTAGCGGAGCGGAGAGTGCGTATGAAGAATCGCGCGACAGCCTGTACCGGTACAGTGGGAACACGTTGAGCTACAGTAGACTTAGGGGGGAAGGGCAGAAGAGGAGGGGGAAAGGAAGAGGGTTAGGGTAAAAAACAACTGATATTGCTATCCATTACTACAGGGATTCTTGTTTGTTATCGCATTATCGCACTGTAACGTCCAATGTGCAGACTGAGAGTGACTCTTCTCCACACGATAAAAACTGACACGTGAAATAGAGGAGTTCTCACTACACCCGGTTCTTCAGCGATCATCGCCTTTGATTGCAAGGAAATTTGCATATGCTATCGCCACGAGCCAGTGGCATTTTTTTGGAGAAAACCTAAGGGTATCAGGCATGGTATCGAGGATGAAGGTGTGAGTTGATTCTCAATTCCTTCTATCAGCACTCTTGCTATCAGAGTGAAAAAGTCGTCTGTCCGTCAATCTCATACTGTTCTCCCATAAAACCAGTAATACCGGTACTGTCTCACTCTAACAACGAGTTCCTTGCAGGAAGCTTGAAACCTTTTACCTTCCATCATCATCATAATGGACAAACATTGATTTCTGAATATAGAAAGAACCAATCATGTTGTTTAAAAACTTCAAATCCTATTGATAATAACTGATAAAAAGTGTCAAATGTTTTGTCACGATGGGCAATCAAACAATGCACCTCGAAACTTACAGCTCCAAACCCATCCCATCGTGGATTTCATAATCCTCCAAAGTGATATGATCCTTGTAGATTGTATACCATTTCTGGATTTTGAGTTTTTCGGGTCTGATTGGAAAATTGAGGAGGACAAATCAGAGAGCTGATGAAATATGGTTCATTGGATTCCTTCTTGATTCGACCATTATAAAAACTGACCTCGTTCCTAGCTGTGCAGCAGCAAGCTTTTTTAGATCGCCAATTGTGTCATCTTCGTTGCATTTGACACGGACTTTTTTGCCAAGTCGATCGTTCAAGACGACTTCAATCATGCCGAGCTTCCTTTTTGTCGTGCGTTTTGGGTTCCATGTCTGTTTGTGCACGAACGGTGTACCGGTACGATTATGTGTACCTGGTACCAGTACCTGGTACCAGGTACTTGTACTCGTACCGATATTCGACACCGGCTGATCGATTGAATCAATCAATCTTTCGATTTCCATCACCGCACGTCAAACGCACGCTCGAAATCTGTCCGTTTAGATTGTTGCGAAATAATTTTTATGTGTCCGTTAAATGCTCTGCGACTTTGACGCGGTAGGTTTCTATGCTCTGCGACTTTGACGCGGGACGTTTCTTTTGACGCGGGATTGACGCGAGTTGTGTTAGTTTGACGCGGGACGGAGTTGCGTCGTAACGTGACTGACTGGACTGCCGAGTCCCAAGCAGATGTATTAGAGCGACCGAAGGCCAACAGTCACCCCAATAGCAACATCAATCACCGTCTATCATGTCCAACAGTAGCTACATCAATGCACCAGTATGCTCTCTCTACGATGAGAGTCAGGAGCACAACGATAGCACGTTACTAAGTGGAAGCCAGCCAGATTTGAAGCCCAAATGCATTCGATTTGCAGTCAGAGCCACCAACTTTGTTCACACGATCAGCCAACACATGGGGAGGACAGTTCAACCCTGATCATTTCCAGCACAACGCGTTCGCTATGATGTCAGCAAGTCCTGTCAATATGGAGAATGCAGCATTTGCCGCGATGACTGCCGCGTCGCATCACAAATATGAAAAAAACAAAAAAAGAAGCAATCATATCAACGAGAAATTGTATTGGGTCAAAGGAAGCAACGTGGACGAAACCATCACCTACAATCAGTATACCATCAATACTGCCGTCTTAGCTCCAACCACAGAGTCTCCGGAAATCAAGCAAGCGATACTACAACAGTCTGTGAACTCCATCAAGCAGACAAAGACAACAATGGAACACAAGGTGGATTTCTTGATGAAGCGCTACACATCAGTATGCCCAGACGTTCGCTCGCGAGTCAACGCCGCCACCAGCG